GCTCATGGCAGCCTGGGTTTCATGCTTGCAGAGGGAAGGCAGCCCGTGTCATCAACTACGAGGAGTTCAAGAAGGCGCTGGAGGAGCTGGCCCCCAAGAGATTTAAGGACAAGAGCAAAGAGGAGGCGTATGAAGCCATCTGCCAGCTGGTGGCAGGGAAGGAACCCATTAACGTGGGCGTCACAGTGAGTGAAAGATCCCCTGGGTGCAGGAGGGCAGGGTGGGAGTGGGGGATGGAGCTCTGCCTGCGGTGGAGCAGAAACACTTTCTGGGGGACCCTTGGGCACAGGGGGCATGGCAGGGTCCTCAGTGGGTGTCAGGAGCTTGTGTGGGGCGAGGGATGAAGGGCATGAGGCATGTTCTTGACTCCCATTGCCTGTCTCCCCACTGCAGAAAGCCAAGACAGTGGGGGCCGTGGAGAGGCTGACGGACACCTCCAAGTACACGGGATCCCACAAGGAGCGCTTCGACGAGAGCGGCAAGGGCAAGGGCAAGAGCGGGCGGGAGAACATCGTGGACACCAGTGGCTACGTCAGTGCCTACAAGAACGCGGGCACCTATGACGCCAAAGTGAAAAAGTAGGGGCCCCAGGCTGGCGGGCTGTCAGCGGCCCAGCACTGATGTGATTGGGAAGTTGCCAGGCTGCGTGCTCTGCCCCAGCATTCTGTGTCTGTGTCCCCTCTTTGTGCTGTGACACCCCCCCCCCCCCCAGCCCCTCCTGTCCTTCCCACCATGCTGTCCCCCCTAGCCCCCTGCCGCCAGCATCGCCAGCCGTACTAACAGCACTGCTCCTCAGGGCTCCCCTGCACCGCTGGCACCCAGACCTTCCCTACCTCAGCCCTGGCTTTTGGGGCGCCCTCCCTGCCGGTCCCACTGGGACCAGCCTGTCTTCCCTGTGGACCTCCCGGGGACCTGCCTGAACCCCACACCAGTTACACCACAGCCGCCTCCTTCCTTCCCCACCCGTGCCTGCCTGTGCAGTGCCCTCACCAGGGGGCTGCCCAGCTTTGCCGCTCACCCGGCACCACAGAAGGCTGAGACCCTGCAGTGCCCCAGCCTGGCCCCAGGATTTACCCTGGGAGAGCTTTGTTGGTCATTGGCAAAGGTCTCTGACCCGAACTCCCGTGCCCTCCCGCTGCCTTTGTGAAGCCCAAAAAAACCAAAGGATGCTGCAGACCCACACTGTAACCCGGCTCTGCAATAAAACCCCGTCCGCACTGATGCTCCCAGTCTGGTTGTGTTCAGTGGGACTGAGCGAGAGCCCCTTTGCCCGCTTACCCACCCGGGCGGTGGGAGGCTCAGCTGGCCGTGCCCCCCCCAGGGCAACCATGCTGTGGGCTTGGCCGCCTGCAGTTTTGGCAGCTCCTGGCTGGCCCCGAGTTGCCTGAGCAACTGCAAGCACACAAACATGCGCCTGGCTCCTGCTCCTGCTCTGTTTGCAACCAAACACACGAGCTCCTGGTAACGATCCCTGGGAACAGGCCGGGCTCCGGGATGGGACGGAAGCTCCAGGATGGGGTGGCTGCTGCTGAGGGTGTTTGTGTGCACACGTCTGGGTGCAGGTGCTGCCACCCCGATCCCAGACTTTCCAGACAGATGCCCACTTCCGTGGTCATCCGTTCAGAGCCAGGCTCCCTAAATAACCCACAGGGGCTGGCACTGCCCATGCCTCGAGGGACGTGCTGGGGACACGTGTGTGGCTCAGGTGGGCTTGCTCCCTGCTGCTGCACAACCCTGCACCTTTTGCATCCTAGTCACCGGCTTTTTAAAACACAGGAGGAGGAAGAGGTGGTCGTCTTCTGGGCTGGTTTCGGCTTCATCCTCAGTGAGGCTTTACCAGTGTCTACCAGTGGTGGGCTGGGGGTGAGGGCTGGGGGATATTAGCCCTCCTTTGGATGTTTGTGGCTGGTGGTGTCCTGTTGCCAATGGGGTCTTTTAACCCTTTTCCGACTCCATTGCCCAGCTGAAAAAATTAGATGCAAAATTCCCAGGGCAAGGCAGTCCTGCATCGCTCCGTGGTCCATGGAGGTGCCACCCGCAGCCCCATTCCTGTGTGCAGATTTGGGAGGCTTTGTGAAGGAGCAACATTTTGTGAAGAGCGAGCAGGCCAGGCCCCATGGGGCTCATCCCTTGCCTGTAGGTGGCACCAGTCGGGACCTGTGTCAGGGCAGTGCCAAAGTGGAGTTGTGGGCACTGATCCTGGGAAATCCAGCCCGGGAAGGGGATTTTTGCCTGGTTTTAAGCTTGCATGTAACAAGACCAGCAGCTCTTGACATCCCTATGTCCAGCAGCAGAACACGGCATTCGGAAGCAGCAGTCGCTCCTGGGAGCACGAGGCTGCTGGGGAGCATTTGGGGGAGCTGTGGGTGTTGAGCCTGGAGAAGAGGAGGCTGAGGGGAGACCTTATCGCTGCCTACAACTGCCTGACAGGAGGGGGGGGCTGGGGGGGCTGGAGCTCTGCTCCCAGGGGACGGGCAATGGGATGAGGGGAAATGGCCTCAAGTTGTGCCAAGGCAGGTTTAGGTTGGACATGGAGAAAAATTCCTTCCCCACAAGGGCTGTCAGGCCCTGGAAGGGACTGCCCATGGAAGGGGTCAAGTCCCCATCCCTGGGGGGATTTAAAAGAAGGATAGATGAGGTGCTTAGGGCCAGGGTTTGGTGGTGGGATGGCAGGGTTAGGAGAATGGCTGGGCTTGGGGATCTTAAAGGTCTTTTCCAACCTGAGCGATTCTGTAATTCTGTGATTCCTCTGCCGGCTGCTCACCCCACCTCTGCCTCTGGGGACCTGGGCAGCTCAGTTGCCCACTGAGCAGCTGCTGAACGCTCACGGTTTGTGAGCCAGCAAGGAGGGTGGAGGGGTCCTCACTTGGAGTTACCTCCCTAAGTTCATCTAGAAGCAAGGGGAGCTCCCCCTGGCCAGTCAGCTCCACCGAGCCTTCCCATCAGTCTGTTGCATCCTGCTCTGAATTCTGAACAGAAGCAGCTTCTTTGCATCCTGTGAAGCCACAGCAGTGGTCACGCAGTGGCCAGGGGCTAG